CCTTTACCAAAGGCTGCAGGCTGGAATCTTCTTCCCCCAGCAAAACTTTGCTGTTGGGGATGTGGAGATGCCAGTCTGCATTGTGGCTGATGCAGCATACCCCCTCATGCCCTGGCTCATGAAGCCATACACTGGGTATCTGAATCCGAGCAGGGAACTCTTTAACATGCACCTGACACGAGCGTGTCTGCAGGTGGAATGTGTCTTTGGCCAGCTGAAGAGAAGATTTAGGTGCCTGCTCACTCTCCTCGACATGAGAGAATGCAATATCCCAGAGATGGTGGCTGCATGTTGCATCCTCCACAACCTGGTGGAGAGCAAAGGGGAGTCCTTCTTCCCAGGGTGGGGGGGCAAGGGCTGAAGTGGAGGGGAGGCAGTTCACACAGCCCTGGACAGCTGCCATTCGCCAAGCCCATCAGATGGGGGTCCGCATCCGAGAAGCTTTGCATGAGTGCTTCTCATCAGGAGCCCAATGAATTCCCCTAATGGGGCTTGTGAGCCTGGCCCCCCCGGCCCAAAACCTGTCCTCCCACAACCCATCCCTGCACCAGTCTCCAGACAGTGAACACAAAACAGACCAGGTTAAATATCAAAAACTTAATGTTTATTAACAATGTATGTGCAAATAAATAAATGTTTGTAAAAAAATAAAACTGTGTGTGAAATGTATTCAAAAATAAACTTTCTTGTGAAACTATCAAACTGTTTTTAAAACTGGGGAGTGAGGGGAGATGTCAACCTGAAGGAGGGAGGGAGGGCAGGCAGTTTAGGGATAATGAGAGTCTCGCCTGGGCTGCAAAACTCTGCCACCGTGGGTCCGTGGTCTTTACCGTCCATTTATCCAATCCACAATCTCAGACTCAATCTTTGTGATAATAAGTGACATCAACAAGCCCATGAGACTTCAGATGGGATCCAGTTACACAGTACAGCTTGCTTGCAGGATCAGGGTCTGAAGCAGCCCAGGCAATGCAGCAGATCCTTGGAATTTTTGCTGGATGTAGGTGCTTGTTTGTATTCTAGTTGCTCCAGTATAGTCTTTGTTTATTTTTAAAACAGAAAGGGTTTCCAGGCAGTCTTTACAATTCAGACAAGGCTATTTGATTTTCTTCTCTTTAAAGGAGACCAGATAAATGTGGTGAAGGCCCACTATATGGTCTGGTTTAGCTGTTCATTCATGTCCCTGAAATGCTCAAGAGAGATTAAAAACAAAGACAAGTCTCTTCTGCTTCATGTTTCTCCACAACAATAAATAGTAAACATGGCCTAATTCAAAAGGCCTCTTGAGCCATTGTTCCTAGAAAAACCTTTTGACCCCACTGTAAGGGAACTGGGTCACCTTTCACCTGAGGAAGGCACACCCGATAGACAAGAAAGCAGACAAATGCTCCCTTTAACGATCATCCTTTGTTTCAAGAAAAAAAAATTAAGGCCAATAACCAGCCCCTCCCTCTTAAACCCAGATATTCTATTCAGAGGTTTAAAAACAAAACACATAAAACCTCCTTTTTCTTTCACAGACCAAATAAAGGGTCATTTTTATTCCCTTCCTCGGTTACTTTCTATGCTATCCACAACATTCACAAAACCAAACTTCTCACACAAGCATAGAGAAAAGGGAAACCTGCTTTAGCTTTGGTTTCATTTGCCTGATCAGCCACAGCTAAAGGTTCTTCAGTCCAGACTTGCAGTTTCTACAGGTGGGACTCATTATCTTCCCTGGCTCTAGCTGCCACTATTAACTCTATCCTGTCCTGGAAGGGTGGGAGGTATTCACATTCTGTCATAACAAGTTATTAACATTTGAACTGCACAGGGAGCTGCAGGCCATTCATTGGGTTAGGAACAAGGCCTGTACAAAATAGTCACAACAAAATTGAGGTTTTCATATTTTGTTTTAATTTTGCAAAATTGGTTCAACTATTTGAAGAAACTCAGAAATGTTTACTTGAGTGGGAATACTCATAGGTGTGAAGTTAAGCATGTATATGACTATCTGCAGGAGCTGGACCTTAGGCCATATACCTACCATGGTTTATATTTGTGAGTAGGCTTACTCATACAAGTTGTCCCAATGGAACTACTTTCATGCTTAAAGTTTCTTGTGGGCATAGAAGGGTGTGTAAGATCAGGCCTTACCTAGAAAAATCAAATCTGTTATGCACTTTCATAGAATTCTTTTATTTCTTTCATTGTTATTGTCAGAAAAAAATCTCAACTCTGCATTTCTTGACTTTTATGGGCTTAAAAATAACTTCAGCATAGTCTTTGTGATTTAATAAATTTGCAGCTGTAATTAGGATTATTCTGAATTTGCCAAAATATTTGACATATAGATAATTAATTTGTGTGAAAGAAAAGGCAGACCTCAAATCCCTTCCTATTGGAAAGAAAACTGAAGTATGTACTCACTGGGGTTTTTTCTTGTAGCCTTTCTGATAAGGGGAAGGTAATTTGTAAAAGTCCTGATTAAATAGAATTATCCATTTGTGGTGTTTTAAACATTCCTGAGCAGGTTCCCTAATAAACACAACTACACTTGAAATTGTGTTTTATGTAAATAGCTGCACATAAGACTTCATTTGCAATGCACAACAGAAAAAAGTTTTTATTGGTCATAACGAAAGCCAAGAACTACACCATATATTTGTGAGGCCAAATATCTGTATCTTTTCTATTAGCTAACTATTTACATCTATACAGGCATCTCTCCTAAAACAAACTATTCCATGATCCTTTCTATGGCTCAGTATGGATGTAATACAAACACCTAAGAATGCTAGGTGGAATTTTTCAAAGGCATTCAGTAAACTTCCCTTTCACTTAAATAAGAATAAAGTTCGTCCATGCTGAACATCCCACCCAATATATACAAGTCCCATTTCCCATTAGAACTGCACCTCTGCCAGACTCTGGTATGTGCTGCTTCTATCATACATGTTATGTCTGTCTGTCCGGTTTCAAACAGGTTGTTGCTATCATCTTGCCTAATGCAGTATGTCTCCAGTTTTTAAATGTGGAGAGGAAGAAAATTCTTGTCCCCCTGCATAAATCCTTATTCAGATAGCTGAAGGGATTTTGTTTAAACATTTTGGAAGATATGCTTTCAGAGACACAGTTGGACAGATTTCAGACTTGAAAGATGAACATTGTCTTTAAACCAGATGTTTGCAAAAACAGGAATTTGATATGACAGCACATGCTCTCAAGTGCTTGCTATAAAATACAGGTTGAAACTCTCATAACAGGGATTTTCTGGTCTGGCAACATCCATGGTCTGGCACAGATGTTACAGGACCAGAGAGTACCAGTGGAAGGCCAGCAGCAAGGATCTATGTGGAGCGGGCAGGGCAGTGGGCCACCCAGCACGTGGCAGCGGGGATGCCCAGCAGGGTTGGGAGACTGCAGTAGCTCGGTAGGGAAGGGAGCTGCAGCACACAGCTGCCCTGTTTGTCCCAGATCCCAGCATGGTGTGCATGGCTGCCCTGAGGGCCCCAGAGTCCCAGTGCAGTGCCCACAGCTGCCCGGCAGATCCCAGAGTCACTGCAGCGATAGATATCCAGCAGTGTTGGCAGAGCAGTTAGGGCCAGCAGGAAGAGAGGAGCTGGCTGGGAGTCCAGCGGGCCAGGCCGGGAGGGCTGGTAGCAGGGGTCCAGAAATAACTTCCTTTGGTCTGGCAAAATCCCTTATCCGGGACCAGTCAGGCCCAGAGGATGCTGGACCAGGGAAGTCCAACCTGTACTAATACTATTGAGATTTTTACAAGACAATTGGGAAGCTTTCTGATAGGAATTCTTTAATAACCTGAATCTTTGAGACCTAAATAAACCCACAAATTTTATAATACAATGGATAATTTTTTTCTTGATCTTGGGCTTATGATTCTTTTTCTCTGCTGGACAGGTCTGACCTCAAATTCAACTCATGTTTGTGGTGAAGCGTCTTGAATTATTTTAGGTAGTAATGCAACAGATGCTGCAAGGGAGTGGCACCCTGCATTTAAGTCTTGTTAAAGCGTCTATTTAACATCTGTAAAAGCACTGTAGTGTGATTTACTCTTTGTTTATAAAAATATTTGTGATGGGGTTTGGTTTTATGCTATTACAAGTGGGCTGCTGTGGTAATTTAAGTATGCACAGCCATTTTTAATAGTGAAGAACAGTTTTGCTCAGTAATTAAAGACTCACCAGATCTTCCTCTTCCCTCCTCCCCTTTTTTTAAGCTGAAATTTTAAACTAGAGAAAATAGTACTTCTCTGACATTTCTTTAAAGGTCAAATAATAAGTCAATTGAAAAGTTAAGACACTGTCTTCTGTATTAATGCTGGTTACAATCAAAATAAATTTTTATTATTTTCTTTCATTTAAAATTTGATAACTTCATAATGCCCAATCAAGCATTCAGGAGAACTGAAGATTATATCCAAACCATTTAAGAAAATGGATTATTTGATGTCTTCTGAGCAACAGCCTCCTTCAGACTTTGTGCTTATACAGATTGTTTTTGGCAGTTCTGGAAACAAGCTTATTTGTGATTTGTAGGGCAGTTACAGTAGTTTCCTAGGTTGTCTGCCTAGTTACTGTTACCCATTCTAAGTATGGAGATATCCAGTCCACTAACAATTTTCTTGCAGTTTGTTTATAATTGTTTTGTGCTCTGGTATTTCTAGTCTCTTTGCTATAGTTCAGAGTCCATTAAAATCAGCAAATTACAGTATAACCTTAGGGTTACGTCCACTTCGGGAATGGAGGTTGTTCATAACTGTGAACAAAATCTTATGGTGGTGTTTCAAAAAAGTACAATGTAACATTAACTTAAGACCGCTTTGAAACTTGATTATGCAGAAGAAAAATGCTTTTTTTAACCATTTCAATTTAAATGAAACCAAGCACTTTCCGTTTATATTTTTAATAGTTTAAAACAGTACTACACTATATTCATGTGGGTTTTTTTTTGTTTTTTTGTTTTTAAATTCTTTTGCTACCTGATTGTGTATTTTCAGTTCCAAATGAGGTCTGTGGTTGACCAGTTTGTAACTCTGGTGTTTGTAACTCTGAGTTGGTAGGGTATCAAACTTGTTGCATGTAAATTTTCACATTCACTTCAGACAGGCATCATCTATATTGCTATGTTTACTAATTTAATGGCTAATGAAGTGTCTTGAACAGTATTCTGATTTGAAAGCACTTTGTGAAAATGACAATATAGTGATCTATTAAAAACTACTTCAATTTAAAGTGATAACTTTACCACTATCAATATGCCATAATTATTTCTAAGTGTGGTACCTAGAATAGAATAATATATGGTTTGAAGTGCTGATGTTTTGCCTTTTGGGGAGGAACTAGAAAGAGATTTCAGTATTTTTTTTTTCCCCTCACATGGAAATTCCATCTTGAGACATTAAGGATCTCTGTTTTTGTTTTGAGATTTTGGTCTTTTCTATTATACAAATTAGCTCTAAGAAGAGATACAGTTGTTCCCAGTCATTGTTGAAGTAGTTCCAGGTTACAGAGTAGACACATGGTATATTTTCATTCCACATTAAAAATTGGCTTGGTCCTATCTAAAATTCAAGACAGAATGGTGCTTTCAGCTTGTCCAGTAACAGTTGTGTCCTTCAACATGATTAAAATTTTAGTGTAGTGAGAATCATATTTTGTATGGGAACTTATTTTTTTCCTGTACTGTGGTCATTTTCTATACTAATAAAATAAAGAACTCCAGTTTTTAATAATACTACAGTTTCAAAAAAATAAACAGCATCAATTTCTTCACACTTCTGATTTCAGTTGAACTGTGCATATTTGATAGAGTGAAAGGACCAAATTCAGACTTTGAATAAGCAGGTACAACTCTTGCTGACCTCAAAAGTTATGAATGGGAATTGCACTTGCTTACATGAAGATTGTTTTTGTTCCAACTTTGCTTATTGACAGACATTTAATGATTATTTCTAAATGTATTAATTCTAGTTACACTGTAGAAGATGTATCTTGTTCCCTTAAAAATTATAAATGAAAGAAAGAACTGGATAAATAAGTATATGAGAAGTGGGAGAAATGTTTCATCTGCTCTTTACATTGATGCTTTTTAAATATCAGCAGGCGATCTATTCAGAATTCAAAATTCCACTTACTGGTTAGTAATTCATTATACAAAGCCATAGATCTGTTAATTTGCCACTCTTTATGAACAGCTATGGCAAGTGGAGAATGTCAACTTCAATATTTGAATCTAATACATAATTGAAAGCCTGTTACATTCAATTGTATGGAAAACCTTTTGAATGAACCATTACAACATATACTTTTGAAATATCTTATTCTTTGCATACCTTTATGCATTTATATATTTCCTATAATAAAAAGTTAAGTAAACTAGCAGAAAATTTGGCTTTTGTTATTGGAGGCATTTCTTTCAGGATTTTCAGCAAATGAATGATATAGCTGTAAATTTGATTATTCAAGTACACGAGCTCTGAAGTATGTTTAATTTTTAAAATCGAAAGCCTTTTATGGTCTTTTGCAGTCTTATATTATTGTAGTTGCAATATAATTCAGATTTTAATATATTTGCAGAAACTCTGATGAACACACACAATGTTTTATTCCAGTTAAAATCCAGTCTGAAATTTGTTATAAGCTAAACATGGTTTCAAGCTTGCATATTATATGAAAATACTTTCACCACTATTTAACTGAACAATAAGGTATATGCATGTTAGTCATACAAGTACACAAAACATTTCAGCTGTATTCTCAGGGTGAAAGATAGCATGAAGAAAAAAATATATGCAAAAGCAGCAGCATTCGATCCATATTTACATTGTTTAGCAGATCATTTTTATTAAATTTGACATAAGATACATGTTCAGCCTTAATAATCTAGAGATGAATTTCATTATGGAATTTACATACCATTAGCTCACATTAATTCATTAGCAGCAGAGCTCTGTGGTACAGGGCTAGTTAGATACATTATTTGTGATGTCTGGATGCTGTAGTTTAATGACGTTTACTGGCTGCATGCTTGTTGCCTTTGTCTGGTGATAGAAGTAATTACTTGATAAAATGAAGTGCATCGCTGTGAACAATTGACCCCTTGGAACAATCCAGACTGGTCAGCAGTCTAAATCCACATTTTAAAGCCATCATTATAGCTTCAAACTTAAGAGTTTCCAGGGTGCAGACAAAGGTGTTGTCTTCCTTCAGTACAAGTCGTGTACCGTTTTCTGACTTTATGAAGTATTTGAATTGAATGATATTTGAAGATATTGAAAACTCCTCTGGAAAGCCATCCAGCCTGCTTTTGGACACCAGGACAATGCGAGATTTGATTTTTGCTATGAAATCAGGAGCATTGCAAAAGATCCGAAGACCTTGTGAACGGTCGTGACTGTCGGTTATTTCCAGGAAAGTAGTCTCTCTGGATGCTAGCTGTTCTTTCTCCCACCTTGATTTCACTGCATCAGCTAACATCTTAAGCTGAAAAAAATCTGCTTCTTGTGCCAAAAGTTGATTTTCTCGAAACCCCTCTGGTAGAAGAAGTTCTCCATTTCGTAGGAAGTTCAGAATGTGCCTGAAAAGGAGTCCATCCCTGTCTATGAAATAATGGCCATCTGCATCAAACGGACAGAGAATTTTTCCATTTACCACACCTTCAAGAAAAGAGTCTGGGTACTTGGTTAGTGTTTGTTTTTGTGTAATGTACAGGTATCCACCAACATTGAGGGTAATCAGTGACGTTTTACAGTTCATGCCTTCCTCAGTACCCTCAGAGTTGTGCTTTTCTTCATGTTCCTTTTCTCTTCTGTTTATTTTTCGCTCCATTCTTAAATCCAAGAGAAAAAGATAGCTATCTTGCCTTGTTCTTGTGTGCTTGTAAAGAGATATTTTAAAAGCACCTTTATTCAGCTCCAGCCCCGGTGATGGAATGGAAGTGCTGCTGGCATTGCATGGATTGTCAGCTCAGTTTTGCAGTAGGTGGCGTATCAGCTATGTATGCAGTGAGATATCAGGAGTACGGCTGTAAAGGGGAATTTGCATTTAACTGTGTAAGGGGAGAGGATGGATGTAAACGCTGTTTTAATTCTTTTCTTTGAAGTCTACTAGGTTTAAATTATTTTAAAATAACATTTTGAATTGCTATGTGCAGAATGGACAATACCTTTTTAACTGACCAGTTAAAATTTTATATTTGCTTTAAAAATGTGTTTATAATGTGGAATTGCTAAAGAATGTTTACCACTGAGTGTGTTGTTGTAGTAGTAGCTTTATTTCCTTTTTTATTTTTTAAGGAATTTTTGGTTTTACATACTACCTTTACAAAAAAGCTATTTGTTACTGTTTGATACTTAATCTATTTGATGGAAGATAGCTGAAAACTGATGACCGAGTATGCCTTATGTATAAAAACCCACAGTGGTTTAACATTTTATCAGGAAATGTTTCAAAGTGATATGACAAAGCATTTCTGATTGAATTGGTTTAGCATATAGTGAAAACTATTTTTGTGTTCATTCAGCTGTCCTTAGCAAGGCAAAAAATCTAGCCTTTATTAGGTTTTGTGTCCTTTGATATTTATAAGTCTCTCCCTTACTATCGATTAGAAACTATTTTAGAGAAAAGATACATTTATTACTTTGGTTATGTAAAATTACCAGTAAGGTTAGATTTCATACATTATTTTATATTTAATCAAAACAATTCTGTTGCCATGTGAAACAAAGGGCCAGTGTGCCCATAAAGATCTTTGAATATCACATAATGCTATAGCTTAGCAACACTTCAGTATGGGAGAAAACATTGACAGAGTATACTTGAATTAAATGGCTGTCTCATTTTTCTGTATGAAGCTGAGATTAAAGATTCATTTGAAATTACCTTTTTTTAAAAGGTTTTCCCCTTTAAACATTTGCAGCTGGGGAGAGGAAAAGGAAAGCTGTACAAATGTTTGTGTATTTCCTTAGGGAGTGTGCAGGAGATGGAGAGTAGTGTATGCAGCACACATTCCAAAGCAAGGTAGAGATTCAACTCTTTTTTAGCTTGAACATGGAAATTGGAGATTATGATTTTTTTTTCTCAGAGTGTATTTTTCAGTCAGCAAGCAGATGTCTGTTGCTTTGGCCCGTTAACAGCGAAGTCAAATATCCTTTTGTGAAAATGATTCTCTGTGCCTTTGTTTGTTAAGACTATATCCATACTGCTCCCAATAGATATATTAGCAATTATTTATAGCTACTGGAGAAACACTGCTATAGTGATATTTGTTATTGGTTAATATTACTTTGTGCTTGTTGATGTAAATAACATGTTGATTCTACTTGTTGCCCCCCTACTTCTGTATCCCCAGTTGACAGAGCTACTCTGCTAAATCTTTTCTGCTACTATATGTAACATACTAACCATTATTTTATTTATTAGACTCTGTGTGTATCAGGAAATAAAGTCATTGTTTAAATGTAACACTTTGATACCCTTATTGTGTTTAGTATCTGTTCAATTTGAAGATATTTTAATCATTTAATATCTATTGAATATCTAATATCTTTTGAAAATTTACTTTTTATGGCTGTTAATAAGAGTTAATAAAAGTACATGTAGAGAGAGAAAAAACAGGTGGTGTAGTTTTGACACAAGTTTTATGAATAATACTTTGCCACTTTGGAAGACTTTGCTCAAATCCAGTTAATAGTCAAGTGTCAAACTCCATTTGATCTGTTCAAGTTCAGTGTGGGTTTTAATCTTATAAATGGTAGTGGTAATTGATAAGACCTTTAATTGACTCTGGAGTCATTCTGTTTTGCATGGTGATCTTGCCATCTCTTTGAAGCTAAGCTGGGTCGTAGCTGGATGAGAGATTTCCAAAGAGAGCCCAGATTTGTAAATGATTTTGAAATCCTTTGTGGCAAACTGAGCTGTATAAATTTAAGACAAGGCAGCTGCAAAACAGTATCCATTCCATATTAGCTTCATAGGCTCATTATATTCTGAAGTCTCTGTGTTTGGGGCTGAAATTTTCCAGGTTTGGCCATAGTTAAATATTTTTGAAAGGTCAAGCTAAATCACTTCTGCTTTTTAGAGAGTAAAAATTGTCAGCAAGCTGTTAGCTGCA